CAGCTATTTATTTGTGTATATATAAAAAAGAGAACCCAATGATATATTATCTCACTTATAAATAGATGCCACAGCGGTTGTCTTTTTCTTTCTTTTCCCAACATGTCCTAAGAGACACGATTTTGTGATGTCATTGAGTACTTTCATCTCTATGATCAATGCCAGCAATTTGCTTGTTCAGAGGGTAACAACTGAGGTGCCATCAACCACATCCTGCTTACGGCTCTTTAGCTCCTCATTGACCGCCTTTGAAGTCCTTAAACAGCTATTAATTGGAGGAATACGTGAGCCACAGACCACTGTTAAGACAAAGGGGGATGAATACAGGTTGTGGTTGTGGTTCCTCTGCACTTCTGCAAGGGTTATAGGTTTGGTTTTTTTAATCTGTTTTAGGGAGTGGAGGCGATTTCTTTTAAAACTATGATTTGATATATGCCACTTACAATTATTAGAGCATCTAAAGATGCGCTTGCACGTGTTTCTGGTTTTACCAAACAGACTACTCCATCTGAGTAGAATGTATTACTTCTACTCACAACTCACAATTACTTACTAACTGCCAACACCGTTTAAAACTTGAAGGTTTAGCCACACATTTGTCTCTATTAGTGTCAGATGGATACATGTAAGGCCCACTTATTGCCTTTGATTATTTGGATTAACCAGAACAAACATTTCTTTCATCTTCCTTAAATTGTATCCAATAGCTCCCGTTTTCATTACGTAAGACACATCAATATTCAGTCTCACAGCATCAATATTCCATTCAACCTTTTTTCTTTAATTCTGGTAGCGGCGGGGCTTTTAAATTTGGATGCAAGCAAAAGTGCCAAAGTAAATCTTTTGGAAGTCATTCAAACTTATCTCCCAATAATGTGAAACTTACATCAGATGCTGAAGAAATGTTCACTGCGAGATAGTGACAGAAGGATCACACAAGAATTCAACAGTTTGCAATGGACGGATTCATCTGGGAAGTGCATAAAAATGCCTGAAAATGGCAGCAGCCGCTGGGACAAAACATCACAACCACAATCACTGGAGACTTTCAGTCGTTGACCTTCTCATAGCTTGTCACTGTAAGTGAAAAGGTCTCCCCTGGCTACATTGAACATCAACACCAGTCTGCCTTTACATGCTTCACATTCCAGACTTTTACAATTTGCTCCTCCACAGTCGGACTCCAAACACACCCAACAATTTCCCCCTCACACAAGGAAAAAAATGTGCTTGACAGTTTTATGTTTATAGATTTGTCATCAACGGTATCAATCCTGGGACACACTGGTTACCAAAACACGGGGGTTCTGTTGCAATGGTAATTTGGTGCATGCATCAGGGAAGATTATCTACTGAGCGCTGGCACACCATGATGTCTATGGAAAACAGCTGCAAGCTGAAATCAGATATTGGTGGAAACAACTGAGAGTGATAATAATATATCTTTCAATCTATCTTCCATAACACTGCCAATGTCTTGATGGCTTCCTCACTCGGTCTTCAGCTCAATAGCAAGGTGGGTCAATATTCAGCCTGAGGGTGTAGATGAATAGGAAAAAAAAACATATCTACCACTGGATAAATTAGCACTGAGACCATGTAAAAATAGTTGTAATAGAGAAATTTCATGTCAGTGTGGAGTGTACAATTCAGCCTTGTTCAGCACACTTCCGCTGACCCCAGCTGGCCAATGCAATCTTTGCATTATATCAAAAATTAAAAACCAAACAAATGTTCTGCTCATATTCAGAAAGCCAGCAATACCACAAAAACAGCCATGCAATGGATGTTGATGTCCTCAGACCAGAAGCCAATCCACTGCTGGGTGAGCCATTCACTTACCAATCTCAGTAAGGCAGCTGCCTTGTCTTTGCCTGAATGCCCCTTTGCTGGCAGCAGAATAAACACAATGCCAGGGACATAGAGGAGTAGCAATCCTGCATTAGAAATGTGTTTTCTAAATCTGGTTCACTCGGGATTTTCTTCCACAGAGGCAATCACTTGCTTTCTTGTCAATGAGTGGGAATACCAAGCCTTTTATGTAGCATCACAAGTGCAGACACACAATCCAAACATCACATCTGGGTCAAAGTCAAGGCCCATTTTGATTACAATATTAATGATAATAGAAATATCAATAATCAATTTAGTTTATCTTGCAAAAAGTTACTTAAGAAGGGAGAGGACGCCTAATCCTGGTAAACTCGTTGAAGAGATGAACTTCATGAGAAAAACATGTGCACTCTTCAGACTGTTTTGTTCTTTTATCACATCTCCAACATTTACATGCTGTAATATATTTTTGATTTAAATCATATCTATGGACAGAGCATGTGCAGAAGCCATGCCTGAGCACCACCTCAACCATAATGGAGCTCCCAACTACTTACAGTGTTGCTTTGTGCACTGAAGCAGAGTCGCAGTGGATCCTGAAACACGCATTAACAACACAAAGCTGCAAATGTGTCCACTTCCTCCAAGCAGTCCTGATCACATTTCCCAGTACAGGCCTCTTTTATTACCCTGTGGTAAAATGTAACTTAGAAAGTCACATTTCAGCCGGAGTCCAGGACCTTCCCACGTTTTGAAGCGTGGTAGTAAACATTACATTTCATGTAAATATGTGTAAGCAGGAGGATACTTGTAGAAGAGGCACTCTCTACTATTGTGGTGCAGGACAATTTAATTAATTTCAAAGTCAGCATATTGTAGAGGTTATACTCAAACCACAAACATGTTACTGACAACTTTAGAGAAACCAGCAAGAGTAAGCTAGGTTTTTAAAGCCTCCCCTCTTTTAGGCCTCCCTCCGAAGCCACTCCCCCACCACACATGAACTGAATTCTGCTGGAGGATAAATCCACGAGAGAGCGTTTGTGTTGTCGTCGCTAACCGTATATAACTACTCATGTCGCATTCACATGTAAGAAAACATTATCATATCATATTGAACCGTGAACATGGCTTTTGTTAATACTCACAGCATTAGGCAATTTTGTCTGCCTAGCCTTTGTTGAAGACTCCCAGTCACGCTCAATGTGTGCATTGGCATTACAAATTCATGTCTTGAAATGGCAGACCGAAAACCTGAAGTGACTGGTGATAAAAATCGTCAGCAAACAAAACAATTAGTGGCAGAATCTCATGCGGCTCCTAACGTTTGGACTGAGGAATGTGTATTTGAATAGAAACAAATTAGCTTGTGCCTAAAGCAAAAGAACAACGCTGATGACTCACCTCAATCAATAGTATAAACAAATAAAGAGCATTCATTCTATGTAATGCTACTTGCTTTAACACTATCAAAGTGCAGCAGTTTAAGTTGTGTGGTATCTAACTGAGTGACTGGAAAAAATTAATTTTGCTCTGTATTTAGTCTAACTTTTAAAATAAGGTAAGTATCTGAAAGACTACCTGATCTCTGATAAACTCTTCTGGCTTGTAAATCTACAATATAACCTTTGTTCTACTGGACACTGTGCCTTTCAATTAAGTGAAGCTTATGACAAGACCATGCAAACCAATCTGTGATTATAATTATGTTCCTCTCAGTAGAGTATTGTAGTTAGGTTGAATTAAGATTGAGGAAAAGCCTGCCATTGTATATGCTTTTTTTAAATAAAGCTTTTGAAAAGTGTTTTTTTTTTTTTTTTTTTTTTTTCAAAGCTTGCTTTCCTTCAGTCATAACAGGAGCATTATCAAGATTTACAAGCCTGAAAGCAGAGCCTGACCTCCTGTCCTGCTAAGCCTCGAACGGTCAATACATTTCCATAACTATGACACCAGATGACCATTTCATGCCCCTCTCCCCACCGCAGGAGTCACAACGGGCTTTCAAACACAAAGCTGGGGTTTTAAATTAAGTCACACATCATGAAGTCCTCCAGCCCCCCTCTCCAGGATGCGCTCTGGGAATACTCCTTGACTTTGACCATCTCTTACATTTGCAATTCATCATTTCTCTTTCTCAGCATCACAAAACCGCCACCACCACCACCACTTCTTTGTCATTACAACGACACAGACACAAGCTGTATTGTTTGCGTCTGGCAGTGAAGACAATGGCTCGCTGCCTGCTGTTGGAGGTAAAGCTGTGCCCTACACAGGAGTGCTACAGGTACAAACATGAGGTGGAAACCCCACCCTATAGAGACAGGCTGTGAAGACCTCAGGATATTGTTACAAAACACACACACAATAACGAGAAATTATAATGGTGGAAACTAATGAAAATACAAACCCGAAAGGCACAACAAGATCAGAATAGTTGCTTTGGTTGCAGCTGATAAATAAACTACACTCTGAAATGCACTGAACCCTATGCTTACAGGCCAAACGTTGACCCAGTGTGTTACTGGTGGTGTGATTTAGCACCTCTGTTGGAAAGTAGCAGGTTTGTGGCTGAAGAGCCATTTGTCTCCTCTATCTACTGACACAACCTAAACACAGTGCTATAAAACACACAGCAGCAAATACAATGACTTACCTTACTGTGTGCAACCAGAAATGGTCACTTCTGCTTCTCCACAGAAGCCACAGGAGAAATCCCAAGCATCACTAAGGGGACAATTTCAAGCCTCACATGACAAGATTATTGATACCCCTCCTGCAAGTCCACAGCAGACTGACTATGCAAGGATGGGTTGAAGAACTGAGGGAGGGAGGTGACTGTTTGTAAACCCCCCCCCCCTTCTCTGACTCTTTCACACTCTTCGCCCCCTCCCTCCCTTCTTGCTCCCTCCTTCATTCTATAATTCCACCCCCGAAACTACAAACCTACTGCTAGCAGGAATGCGTGTTCCCTCCCTTGTCTCCTCTGTGATTGCCCCTCGCACCACTATGAGAAGCTTTATATTTACACTAAATGTTGCAGCCTTTTGATTGTACAAAAAAGCTGATTAGATCAACAACTGTCAGCGTTGGGCCTGCATTTCTCAGTCTGGATCAGAAGGGTTACTTAAACCTTAAATATAAATGTTGCCTAATTTTTTGGCTTAGACAGAAAATAATCTTTCTTTTATCTTTTTCCTTTGTGGTTTAAAAGAGCAGGATTTGTAATGACAGTACTCTGGAAAATGAAACCCATGTTCCTTTCACCTCAAAGGCAACAAGGGCTAAAAGGTTCCCATCTTAATGTGTTGCGGTGCATAATTTGGATCATTCAGTGACAGCCCCCAAATGGACCCGTGAATGAGAGAAAGGCTGGACTTGCTGTTGTCATAGCACCACGGATGTCGTGTGGCAATCACGTCAGCAGTGACAGCGGTGCCGGATTCATTTTGAGATGATGGAACCGGCAGAGGGAACAGGGGAGAGAGGAAGGGGAGGATGTTTGGATTGAGGGCACAGCGACGACTGTTCAGCTGCAGCCCCGCATCATGTGCTCCAGAAGCAGCTTTGCATGCACACTTGAAAGTACAACATGCTCCGAGCTAGTCAAGGGTGTGTGGACACCATGACAACCATGCAGAGGAGAGACAGAGAGAGCACCGAGCTTATAGTCCGTCTGAAAGGAGTCCAGAGATTGGAGGGTTGAATTGCCGTGTCTTGACTTTGCGATGACTATGACCAAAATAAAAAAGCACTCAGCATCGTGGTCAGGCTGACTTCCTCTCAGTGCATTTTAATGTCCTGCCAAGGTTGTGACCCTGATATTAAATGTAACCACTGGGGTTTCTTAGTAAAGACAGGAATGTCTGGTATGCAGAAGCAACCAGACATAATAACCTGTGCTCTTATCAACTCGCTGAGCTTGATTTCATGCAGGTAATCTTCCAGGATAACAGAAATTTTCATTGATGGTTCTGTGCCAATTTTGCTTCAAATTCAACACACAGGGCCAATTTCTCTATTTCAATTAGTGGACAGTCTGTTGGGAGGAGATCCAATGACAACAAAAGACTTGAAAGCACACAATACAGTCTGAAGACATGATGTTGAGAGATTATCATTTGTACTCACAATCTACTTAAAAGTGTCAAAAAATATATTGATGTAGTTCCTGGATGGTGTGTTTTGATAGTGGTAAATCGCTGATTTATCATCGGTGTAACTTAAATACATAAATGTTACATGAGTTGAGATCATCTTATCTGTTCGTGTCCTCGCTACCGGATCAGGCAGCAGCGCAATAAATGCGTCTATCAGTGAAATGTGGGCTAATGCTGAATCCACGTCTGCTCTCACCACAGGAATTTCAGAAATGTAGATTGCTTGCATGGAGCTCAGCTAAACAAAATACTCTGCTGCTTTCTCATCACAGACACAAGGCTGTTAAACCCAGTGCTACCTACACTCAATTTAGGAGCAGATTGAACAGGACATCCAATACATTGACAGGCCATTCAATACTGCCGGAGCAATTTGGCAGGTGAGATTACGTTTACAGATCCACGGTAACATTTAAGACTGCTGATGCTGTCCAGGTGTCACAACCAACTGCAATCACTTGCCAATCACCTTCAGCCATAGTGAACGAAAAACAAAAAAAACTGTTGAAGGTGGAGGAATGACAGCAATCCATTTCCCAGGATATGCAAATTCACCAAGTGTGACTCCTCACAACATGCCAATAATCTGGTTTACTGTAAATATTTTTGTTCCAAGTTATAATATTGTTTTCATTTTATTCGGATTAATAGTAACACTTTAAGAAAAATACAAAAGCTGACTTTTTCATGTTCGCAAGACTTGATTTGCTCAAGCTGGCTCAAGTTAGTCAGGAGGCCTCTTAACAATTATTCTACAGTAATTCCATAGTTGTTCCAATGCGATTAAAGTCTAGGTTCACTTACTCCGCCCTTTATTTGCATGTGCCCTAGCTCCCATGCTCCCGCCATGCTTCACATCAGGGACAGTGTTGGACAGGTGATGAGCTGAGCTTCATCTTCAACAGAAACAGCCTCATTCAAAAAGTAGATTGGTTGCACCAAACTGAGTTTTGAGCATCACTGGATGCCTAAATACTGATAAGAGAATGAGAAAAAAAATCATATTTCAAATTATTCTTTGGCTAAAATTAAAACTTGCCATTTTAGGTTACTGCATGAAAATCAGTCACATACATTCTTCTTCTTCTTTCAGATGCGAGGCCTTTACCATCAAAAATCAGATGGGTTTGACACTTTCTCAAGGCTGTGGACCCTGAATATCTTGCACCTAACAGGATGAATCACAGCGCGGCTCCTCAGAATAACATTAAGTAAAGGTCAGTTAATAAGTGGTTCATTATAGCAATTCTGAATGGACCAAAAGACGACATTCAACATGTGATGTTAAAATACATTGCATAATGTATTAATTTAAAAAGGACATACTGAGGGATACAATCAACAACACTAGGGATTGAAACAAATGCATAAACGATGATAATTTCAATATAGGAAGTCATGGCAGAGTAAAATTAGTAGGCAACAGTAGCATGACTTTCCCTGGCCAGGTTGAGAATGTAAAAATAATGCCTGACATTCAATGAATTGGACCACAAAATGAAAATGTCTGTCAGCAACTGCAGGAATGTTGACAGCCAAAATGCTTTCTTGTCTCTCATGATTAAACTCCCAATTAACATACAGGGGTCCCACAATTATGCATCTAGATGTAGAATCAACAGCATCTCTCTGCTCATTGAAACTTTATTTCCAGAACTGTACACTATAAATACAAACTGTGCATACATCGTATTGAAGCTGATTTTACCATTAAACAAGATGTCGGCTGTATACAGCATTAGGATCAGCCTGAGGCAGTTTTTTTTTTAAACTACAACAACACTGAAAAGAACATCCATCACCATAAGGGTTCAAGTGTTTATTTTTTTTTGAAGGTCTCCTCAATCACAACAACACACATCCCCCTAGTGTTCCTGTGAGGAAACACATGATCCATTATACTGAAAAAGAACACCATGTACAACTGATATCTAAAGAGAAGAATGCAACTGTTACGCAAGACATGAAAGCAGTAACCCCAGCCCGGGTAGAGATCATTAGCAGAGGATCCAGTGGTCTCCAGCAGTGAGTTACCTCTCAAGAGTCGACATCAAAGACACCGGTATAGAGAGGGAAATAATTTAGAATGCAGGGGAAAAGCTGCAATTGACTGGTCGAGCTGAACCTATACATGACAGGTAGCTCTTCAACACTAGTTATTAAAAGATGCTTGGAACATGTTACAGTTACAGTGGCCACAACGTAACAAGCTGCTGGGTAGGGTCAACTACAGTATATGCTATGCTATAGTTGCAGAAAGCACACTGACCATATAGCAAGCTGTGAATAATTTGTGCATGAAAGCCCAGTAAGCGCAGGGCCTTAACAAAATGTGCAAAAAGCCCATCACAATTTCTGAGAGCCTAAGGCAACATCTATAAATGTACTTGTTTTTTCGACTAACATCTCAAAAACCCCAAATATTAAATGTATGATATTAAAAAAGAGAACACACCAAATTCTCACATTTGAGAGGCATGTCTTTTTCCTGCATAAATTAGTTAAAATGATTAGGCAATTATCAAATTCTTCATTTTCTGTCAGTTGACTGTTTGATTATTAACATGTAGTTAGGACCTACTTAAACTAAAATAGTTATTTAAATGAAAAGTTTTTCTTTATATAACAGACATCCTACAAATATCCACTATTGCACCAAATGAGGGTAGTTTTAACCTTGACTAGACATCTTTTGACCGCATATCACTAAAAGATACTTACTGAGAGAGGTTCAGATGCTAACCCAGGATGACGAATTATCGCAGTACCACACTTCAAAACATATCCCAAGCCAGAGTCTACCTCAAGGAAACAAAAGGGCACCGAGAAGTTCTCGTTTATGATTGATGCCGTGGTAAAGTTAGCCTAATTTCGACGTCCCAAAAGTGACTCATAGCCTCAGCAGTGTAGCGCACGAGAAGCTGATGATCATCACCATGTGCATTTCTGACAGCCAGTCATATGTTTCTGCTCACAGCTCAGAAATGGGAGGAGGAGCTTTGATCAGGCCGTTTAATGCTCATCTATCATGTCTTTCCAAACCCCATGACCATTGTGCCTTTGTGGAGACGAATGAACTTGGAGCTACTGAACACCATCCACTGGGCGGTATATACAGACACTGGCCTCTCAATTTGGAATAGAAGCCCTCTGTAATATTTTTTCCGAGGCTAACACAACCTCAAAGGAAGCTTTGAAGCTTGAGTCAATACTCAACAGTGCAGACGAGTCGACTTAATTTGTGGGGAGCACTTGTTTGCTTGTTTTTTTAAAAAAAATTAAAAAAAGATACAAGCCACGGCATAGGGCTTATTCGTTTTGACTTTAATGAGAATATTTGTTTAAGTTTGTTATTATTCATGAGAAAGCCCATGTCGTCCTTATGCTTGGAAGTCAAGCTGAGAATCATTGAGTTTGGTCCTTGCTTTTCAAGGTTAGTGGAATAGAACCCAACATTTTCTCACATTATACGAAGTGCATTGTCACTCTAAAAAGCAGTACTGCTAAAGAGGTTGTTTTCAAGGAAAGCATCTGGGATCAAATCTTGGCAAGCCCTTTTCCAGATCATGCCGACTGTCAGCGCATCATGAATTCATATGTGGCCTCACGTTGTCAGATGCTGGAATATGTGGCAACTTCCAGTCTTCTGCATCCGTAATAAATAAGAAGAATTGCATATTTTAATGCATATGAAATACCTAAGTAGGGTTAAAAAAAATTCTGTAAATGAACATGTGCCAGGAGAAAGCAATACTACAGTCTGTCAGATGTGTACAATGTGGTTCATTGTGGAGAACAATGGGATTCCTCCCTTCAACTGCTAAAAGACGGTGGAAGACAGGCTGATACAGAAGCACATCAATAGTACTCTCTAATGGAGACAGATGTCCTGTCAGGAAGAACAAGGGGAGACCGAGCTTTTGTCTGAAACTTAGTACAACGTGGATGTAAACAGAACAGGAGAGGAAAGCAAGCTTGTCCTTCATCCATCAACTTGGGCTGAAAGGCAACAAAGACTGCTTGGTTTAGAAACCAAACTCCTCAACAAACTCTTAATGCAATTATTTGATAAACATGTAAAAACAAGAATTGTCTGTCCTGTAAAATACTACCTTTGAATATTATAGGGCTACAATTAATGATTTTATTTTTTATTTTTAATTAAGTGACTTTTTCTTTCAATTATTGGAATTAATGTTTCATCAAAACAATGCACATCAGCATAGGCCAGAGTTTATTCAAATATTTAAAAAACTTTGTCAGCAGTCTCCATTAATGTGATCTGCATCAGCATATACTGTACTATGACACTGTACTATGGGCCTTTTTTATAACGTACTGCACTATGACATTATGACATTTATGACTTTTCTTTGAGTTTTTTGTGGCAGAATTTTTCACTAATTTCTTGTTGCTCAACTAATATCAGCTAATTGTTAGTGCCTACGTTATTTGAGCTTCATATTCTGTAGTTTAATAAAAGACCTGAAGCATTTTTAAGGCAAAATATACCATGACTTTTTTGTAAAAACTGTATGATGCACCAACTTTTTCGGCTTCTTTTATGACATACAAAAAAGTCATAGTTTAGTGACATTTTTTGAAGACATCTTGATACATCTTTTATGAAAGTTCTTATGACAAACTATATTACATCTTTTATTGAACATTTTTATGACATACTAAACTAAAACCTTTTGGTGACATTTTTATGACATACTCTAATGTGATTTATTTTTTCTAAACATCAGTCATAGTATAGTGTGGCATATGACACTAGACTACGACTTTTTCTGAAAATACAAACCATCCTCTAACATGTTTTTATGATATACTATACTAGGACCCTTTGGTGACATTTTTATGGCATACTATACTAAGACATTTTTATGATTTTGTTAATGACATACTATACTATATTATTTTGTATTACATACTAGTCTATGACTTTTTATTACCTTTATACTATCGTCTGATATTTTTATGACATAGTATACAATGATTATTTATGACATTTTGGTTGACACACGAATATTTTGTGACTTTTTTTTTTACATACATTTTGTACATACTATACTATGACTTATGACTATTTGTATTACATCCTATAACTCTTTAATGACATTTTTTATGAAACACTTTAGTATGACATACTATGCCTTCTTAGTGACGTACTAGACTATGACTTTTTGGGACACTTTTTATGACTTATACTATAATCTTTTATGAAATTGTTATGATCGACTGAACTATAGCTTTTTTATGATATTTGTATGGCATACTATAATGTGACATTTTTTTATGGGATACTATATTATGACTTTTAATGTAATTTTGATGACATTGTATGGCTTCTATTATGGGATTTGTATGACATGCTTTAATATGATTTGTTTCAGAGATACTGTTTTGGCCGTTATGAAACATTCTATTTCATAACTTTTTCATGTCAAACTATAATCTCACGGTTTTGCAACTTTTTTATAACAAACTATACTATGACTTTTTAGTGGCAATGATATACTAGACCATGACGTTTATGACTTACTGTACCATCAATTGTTGTGACATTTTTTATGGGATGCAATGCTATGACTATTTTAATGGCATACTATACGAAGTCTTTTAATCTCCTATTAAACTATGATTTTTTATAACACTATACCATGACTTTTAAAATGAAATATTACACATGTCTTTTTGTAACATTTTCTATATTCTATATTCTATACTATGACTTTTTCATGTCATACTATACTATCATATTTGTAAGACATATGTTTGGCCTCCTATGACCTCTTATTTACATTTTAATTGCATACTATATTCTGACATACTATTCTATGACTTTTTTTCTTGACATTTTCATGACAAATTGTCATACAATGACTTTTTAAGGACATACGATACTAGGACTTTTTATGACATACTGATCTTTAAAATGTTTAATGACATTGTTATGACATACTAAACTATGACTCTTAATTACAGCCTATAATATGACTAATTTGAATTTCTACCTTAGCAGAGAATTAATTATGCTCCCCCTCTGTGTGCGTTGTAATCGTGAGCTTCTCCGTTCTTTATTGACATGCCTGGGCCAGCTGTTGCCATGTTGAGAGCCGTTGAAAGACAGTAGAATTGCTCAGAATCCCGTATTCATCACTTTAAAGATGGTATTTTCCTAACACATCTAGATGCAAGGCACTGAGGCTTTAGCTTAGCTAAGTATGCTCACTGTGATACCTACAATCAGTCACTTACAAGTCATTCACAAGTTTCCTGCTAGTAAAGATTTCCAGCTTTGTGGTTGTGGTTTAACTTGTGTACTTCTTTTTCCCACAACACACCTCTTCTCATTTGTTGATTATTTCAAACACATGGCTCAGCTAAGGAACAAAGCTAGCAGTTACAGAAATCAAACATCAGCTAAAAACACTCAAGAATAGAACATTCATTTTGTAAATATTAATACAGAAGGTAATAGTGACTTTGTCTTGGAATGACTAATGTGTCCGTTATCACACTAGGCTCAGTATATTGTTCACTTGGCATTAAGCACAACACTAGACTGTCTTCAGTATTTACTTTGCATCAATTTGAAAAGACATGAAGAGTTATGTGCAAGTGGGACGGAAATGAATAATTCACAAAGAGCACTTATCAGGGTTAAATTATGCGCATTTCAAGAAATCATCTGTGTTTGGTAGTATATGGCTATACACGCATGAAGAACAAAGTCCTGGATTGTACAAAAAGCCAACTAATTAGCATATGAATGTGTAGACATTCTTTCATGTGTGGCTACGCTAGTCGCTACACTGCCTCACGTTGGACTAACTTTTAAGATCTTTGAGATGGCGAGTTAAAGAGTGTGGACACAAGCCAGAGGGGGAGTCAAACTAGTTTCAACTTGACCACACAAAGAGAGATAGCGGGTCAGGTCTCTGTGCAGGCATGTCACACAGGTGAGCTCAGGTTACCACCCTGAGGACACAACAGCATACACTGAAACCAGTCTGCTGGGTGCTCCACAGTATGGTTGTTTTCTTCCCATGATTCTCCAACACAGGCCAAAGTGCTCAAGCTGCCGATTGGGTCATTAATAGGTTCTGTAACCACTGCAGAGAACACCTTCCAACGGTCAAGCATTGCCTCTGCCTTTACTTGGAACTTGGATAACTTGTAGGTCATCCACAGAAACAACTAGTGCCCAATACAATGGACCAAACTTAAAAGGATTAATCCGCCCCAACTCTAAAAGCATCTTTTAAGTTCCAAACACGGACTGTGAAATGTTTTTACATTAATACATAATTTGACAAAACAATGACTGGATAGATCAATGGATGAAAGGTGAATTAGCAGACATTCAAACTGAAAAAAAGCAGTTCATTAAAAACAAAAGGCCAGCGTTGCTATTGGGACTTGTTATTTCAGTTACTGGAGAGAACATAATGAGTCCAGTTTGAGAAATCAATCCATAAGCTTGAAAAATCAAATGCCAAAACACAACCCAGGGGTTCTGGAAAGTTATCACAGCAAAAACAAAAATGGTGATGGCTTAAGAGTAGAATTAAGCCATTCGTGCTACAAAGTTCTCTACTAGAAGTGACCCTCTACCTCTCAACACAGTGGTTTCAATAAAATGAATTTTTTATACAGTGCTTTTAGTCTGAACATGGCAATTTGCTTTTGACAAATCTTGTCATCATGGAATCCATTGTGACCAACGTAATCCAACACTAAAACATTAATCACATTAACATACAAAGTACTTTTCCTATTCATTTGTAATATTCACTCAAAGCCACTTTATCAGGGTCAACACTGTAATTTCACAACGAACGAATTGTAGTCATTTCATAAATGTGCTGTTTATTATCATGTTATGAAATCAAACTACATAAATTTATATTTTTTTAAATTTAACCTTTATCTATCCAGGGAGTGCCTCACAATTCAAATCTCTTTTTCGGGAGAGACCTGGTCAAAACAGCACACCAGTTACAGTTTAAAGAGAAATAAAAACACCACAGACAGGAAATACAATCATCAAACACAAGGAAGTGACTAGATCCAGCTCAAAAAGCAGTTACGTTTCTCAGTTACATGTATATGTAGTGGAAAAGAGTACTGTAATACTCCAATTTTCTTACATTTCTCAGTTGTCTTTGTTTCTTGCCTTCTGTTTAGGATGCAAACTCTGGACCCATTGACTATTGGTCTGATGGCAGATAAGGTTACGGGGGCAATAGGCTATATTTCTGGGGTTATCCGGGGCAAAACTTCTTTTTCTGTGCGCTGCTCGTTGTTTACAGTCCAATTAGCAACCCGGTGGGTTCAGATCATCGACAGACGGTGAAGGAAAAGGCTGAAGGGTTTAAGAGATTCCCATGGGTGTTAGAACCATCAACTGACATGAACTCAAGCCACTGCGCTCTAAAGCCATATTTTAAAGGCCACAGGTAAGTTGTTTGATACTCAAAAGATAAATTAGGATGATGCCACAAAGTCTGCCTTTTTAAAAACAGATAATTGCTTTGTATTTTTTCCTGTAGGTCAAATTGTTACTTGAACATCCATCGGTGAAAATCTTCTGTCGTTGGTAATTGGTCCTTGGCGTAGCGGTTAAGATACTAGCGTTTCTCTGGTGTCCAAACTCCCCTTGACGGATGCATTTACCAATGCCTGTTTGTGGGGCAGTCAGGTCATACTAGACTCACCATAAATACAAGCTGCTGACTGAGAAAAAAAACGATATTTCTCTTGGCAGCACAAATTGTAGAAAAATAACAGTGACAGCAAACACAAGACACATACTCAAAATGTGTATAGTGCTTACACGTTAGTACAAAAGCAGTTTTAAAACACTAAATAAAAAACATTTAATTAAGACGTTATGTCCCATGAGTGAAATCTGTTGCAGCACTACAAACCAGCATCAGCTCAGTCACCTCTGCAACTACACCTGTTATGATGATCTCAGCCACCACACAGACACGCAGACTATGGCAGTGACGCTGCAACTAACTTGACACCATAAGGTCACTGTAGTATAGCAACTGCACAAATGAGCTATCGCCTTTCGGTTGAGTCACCTGCACATGATCTGTTTGCCAAAAGCAATGTGTAAATTGACAGCAGCAACAGCCTGCATGCTACAACAACGAAGCGATGCAACGACTCCGATTGAATGACTCTGCTTCGTGCAACAATTCACCGCACTGAGGCCGTACGTGGTTTATCCTCTCCCAGTATCAATGACCACAACACACCCCGAAGGTATCACGGCGGACAGGTTGCCGTGCCCGTTTTACTGCATGTCTAGTCAAACCAACATCCTATTGCTATAGGAAATCCGTTATTCATCAGTTGAGCTGCTGTGCAGGATGCGCATTCATGCACTGAGAGAGAAACGTCTGAACATGCACTGGTGTAGCCTATGTCCACCGTCATGCAGGCTACGTGGATGTTTTTAACCCCAAATCACTGACGTCTGAATGAATCGACTCAAGATGCGCAACACCCCGTGCAAGAAAACGCAGCTTGTCGGCCTTTCCACTGGACCGCTCCGGCCGCCCCAGTGCGGCAGTATCTGTCACCCCTGATAAACTTGTATGATTGAGTGACGCGGCGATGCGTGAAAAAAAAAAACGGCGCTAGGACCACGCGGAAATATGATCGGACATCGAGCCTATTATTCTCATCATGATTAGACAGCGTGCATCCCGGTCTCCTTACATACCTGTCACAACCACCGTCGGGATCCGACTGCTTCTGTTCCGACATTGAAATCTTCATGTCTCACACGCCGGTGTTGCCCATCCGCGTCTCTGTATCCTGCCGCCCGTCCAAGGTCTGCCTGTCCACAGACCATGCGTGTTGTTTCCACACCGCTGAGAGGGGCGGAGCCCGCG